GGCCGGAGCCATCACTGCTCGTCTGTCTGCCCCTCCGTATTGAGCTCCAAGCCGCTCGCTCAGACCTGCAGGAGCTGCTGTTGGAAGCTGAGGATCTCCTGATCCCTCTCGACCTGTAGCCGGAGTTTAGCGATCTCCTTGTCGTGGTCGGTCGCGCTGAGAATCTCCCCCTCCCCCTCCCGTGGCTCCCGCAGGGCTGGAGGGGGGAGGAGAGACAGAGAGAGCGGGTGACACCAAGTGCAGGGCGGTGGTGACACACCCTCACGCTTCCCTGTTGTTCCCGAAATATGTTTCCCGCATCGTTCCGTGTTTCAAACCAAATTCCCCGGAATTCGTCCACACAACGTCACTGCAAATAGCGACTCCCCCCTGCCCCCCCCCCACCTTCCCCACCGGCAACAGGAAATGGGTCACGCTGATCGAACCGGCAGGAACAGGAAGCGCAGGTCGTGATCCACTTCCTGGGAGAGGATCGGTGAGACGCACTTCCTGTCACCAGTAGGTGGGGCTATCTGCAGTTCACGGTTTATCACTGACCAGGTGTAGCCTCCGCTTCCCAACTGAGCCCAAGCAATAATTCAACCGCCCCACACCACTTCCTGTTAGCCCCTTCCCCCACTAACCCCAACCCCTCCCCCACCTCCCTCACTAACAAAAGGAATACTTCCTGGTTCCCGCTACAAAATTGTCCTTAAATATCGCCCCCACCCTCCAACGCCACCCAGAACATCGCAGGATAAAGTACTTCCCCACACTTTTACATCATCGCTCAAATTGTTTGGGTGGGGGAGCGTTGGGAGTTAAGGTCTTGGAGAGACTTTTTTTTTGGGGGGGGGGCGGAGTGGGGCGGCGGGGGGATAAAGGAGAAGGAGGATCACCTGCGTCTCGCAGCCTCTCCACCCAATCCCTGAAACATTCCCATCGCTTCCACAGCCCCCCCGTCAGACCAGCAGCTGCACTTCCCCGGCCGTCCGCCACCGCTTTCTCCTCCTGCGTCTCAACCAACAAAAAACACAACGTCGACAACAACAACAATTAACAATCAGACGCCAATTAATTCCCCGAAGGGGGATTTCCCCCTCCCCCCCGCCCACTGGAGCGACTCACTCACGGGCGGGGGGTACGGGGAGTGGGGGGGCAGCTTCTCAGGGCTGAGCAGGTTGTCCACGTCGGCCCCAATCCTTTCCAACACGTTCCTCAGGTGAAGTGTCTCAGCCGCTAACTCCTTCATCTGAGCCTCGTACTGACCGGACAGAGCTCGGAACATCTCCTCCTCTCGCCTGCAGGGGGCGGCAGTGGGGGGGGGGGGGGGGGGGCAGAGGCGCCGTCAACAACAACAACGTGCATTTACACAGCGCCCTTCACGTCACACGGGATAGCGTCCCGGAGCACGTCAACACATACACACACACCCGCACACACCATCCCCACACGCCCCCCCACATGCCCTCCCTTCTCTTTTCGAATAGGGCCGCGGGATAGTCAACATCCACCTGAACAGGACACAGACGGGGATTGAGGTTTAACCTCCAGCGCTGCATTGGAGCGTTAGCCTCGACTGTGTGATTACAAGTCCTGGCGTTGGGGGCTTGAACCCACAAACTCCTGACTGGGAGGCAAGGGAGAGCACTACCGCCCGAGCCAGGCTTCCCCCAACGCAGGGCAGGAATCAGCTCTCACTCTCCTCTCCGGGGTCAGGAGGTTGTGGGATCAAATCTGGGACAGAGGGGTAGATAGCTGTAACCCGGGGACGTGGTGTGGCGGGGGGGGGGGGGGTTGTGGGATGGGGGAACGTTGTAGATGTCTCGGAATCCCACAAATAGCATTTGTGACCTTCACAGCTCAGACCTTGGGGGCGCGGAGATTACTGAGACTCCGCACCCGGTCAACTGTGTCTAATCTACTCCCGCAAGTGGATTCATTTAGTCTACGCTGAGAGCAAACAGCGCTGAAGGTTTCCTACATCACACGGAGAGAGAGACACACAGACGGAGAGACAGACAAATAATAATCCTGGCGCCTCATCACGTCGTTGAGACGTCTCAAAGTGCTTCCCAGGATACACTGTAAAGTGTAGTGACTGTGCGTTTAACGAGTAACGTCTCTCTACCTGGACTTGGTTCTCCCCGTCCTCCACAAAGCTCGCTTCCCGTCCAGCCGGCCAACCGGGTTCAGGAGATCGAGAGCTTGAAAAAAAACACACACACAGCGTCAGGTCGAGTGGGCAGAACCTGACCCTGGAAAAACAACAACAACTTACATTTACACGGCAACTGCCTCTCATGTCGGGAGGACGTCCCAAGGCACTGGATGGACAGTCAGAGATTTGGACCTGAGCTGGGATTGGGTTCAGGAGGTGGTGAAGGGTGGGGGTAGGAGGGTGACCAAAGGCTTGGCCAAAGAGGAGGATCTTGAGACATGCCTTGATGGAAGGAGGCGAGAAAGGGTGGGACGGGGGGTGAGATGGAGGGACTATGGGATGAAGTTCCAAAGGGTGGGGGCAGAGAGGCTGAAGGCCCGACCGTCAATGGTGTGGTGGGCCGGGCGGGCGGAGATTACCGATCTTTCGCTCTACTTTCTCCATCAGCCTCTCCTTCAGGCGGTTCAGCTCCTGCTCTTTCCTCCTCAGCTCAAGGGCGTGTTGAGCAGCTCGGCTCATCATCACACCCTGGAGCCTCGTCACCTACAGCGAGAAGGGAACCGTCAGTTTAGAGAGACCCTCGGCGGGTTCCAACGTCTTGCTCCCTCCTCCCTACCTCCGTTGGCTTCAGTGGAAAAAAAATGGCCGACATTGGCAACTGGGAAGGAAGAGACGACTTGGGGGGGGGGGGCTAAGATTTGTCGCTCTCACCTCGTCTCTGCTGCTCTCCAGCTTCTCAGTCAGCTGCACAAAGTTATTCTGCTTCGCTCGCTCCTTGTCTCTCAGTTCAGTGATCTCCCGCTCGCGAGCAAACACCTGCTCCTAGAGAGAGAGGGAGAGAAAGGAGAAAAGAGGGGGAGAGAGGGAGTGGGGGGAGAGAGAGAGAGAGAGAGAGGAAAGAAAGAGTGTCTGCGGCTGCGCTTTCAGCCACTACACCCCAAAGCTTTGGAACTCTCTCCCTCTGTCCCTCCCTCTGCCTCGACCCCCTCCTTCGTTCCCATCTTCAGGTCGCGCCTGAAGACCTTCCTCTTTGACGGCGCCTGTGGTCACCTGCCCCCCTCCCCTCGGTGTCGCGCTCCACCAACGTCAAGCGCTCTGAGACGCTATCCGGCGTGAGTGAGTGAGTGATTTGAGACGCTGTGTAAGTGAATGTTGTCGTCGTCGGTGCTCACTCACTCCCCAAACTCTCTCACAAAACCTACCTGCAGTTTGGAGCTGTCGCTGTGGGGGCCCGGCTGAGAGCGGGGGGCCGGGGGGCCGGGTGGCGGTGCCTCCCGGTGGAGGAGTAACAGGCTGTGAGCCCCGTTTATCAGGGCGACCAGGTCGAAGCTCAGAGCCGGTGCTGCCTCCGAGAATCTGTCCTCGTACAGCAGGGGCAGCCCGCGGGCCCCAAACTCCTGCAAGACCAATGCTCCCCCACATTCATGTCAAATCCCTTCCCTCCCTGGCACCTCCCCTCCCTCCCTCCCTCCTCCCTCCCTCCCTCCCTCCCTCCCTCCCTCCCTCTCCACTCAGCTGGCTCCAGCCTCCTGCTTGTCGCTTGTGCTTTCAGCCACTACGCCCCGAAACTCCGAGACTCTCTTCACTCTCAATCAATAACGATCATCCTGCCACGTGACCCGGCGCCTCATCATGTCTTCGAGACGTCTCAAAGTGGTTCACGGGAGACACTGAGAAGTGTGGTGACTGTGTATTTTGTGGGTGAAACACAGCAGCCAATTGCGCCCAGCGACGTCCCCACAATTGACCGAATATTATTATTTGTTTTTTTAAGGTGCACCTGAAGACCTCACTCTTCGACTGTTACTTCCTTCAGAAGCTCCCTCTACACTGTGTGTCCACACCCCCAGGTCAGGGTTAGAGACACAGTAAAGCTCCTCTACACTGTGTGTCCACACCCCCAGGTCAGGGTTAGAGACACAGTAAAGCTCCTCTACACTGTGTGTCCACACCCCCAGGTCAGGGTTAGAGACACAGTAAAGCTCCTCTACACTGTGTGTCCACACCCCCAGGTCAGGGTTACAGACACAGTAAAGCTCCTCTACACTGTGTGTCCACACCCCCAGGTCAGGGTTAGAGACACAGTAAAGCTCTCCACACTGTGTGTCCACACTCCCAGGTCAGGGTTACAGACACAGTAACGCTCCTCTACACTGTGCGTCCACACTCCCAGGTCAGGGTTACAGACACAGTAACACTACTCTACACTGTGTGTCCACACTCCCAGGTCAGGGATACAGACAGAGTGATGCTCCCTCTGCACTATCTGTCCAGACAAGCCTGGGTGGTGGTGAAATATGTTCCGAGGTAAGAAATTAACCACAATTCACAGAATTGCAGAAAGTAAAAGCAGAATAAAAAGAAGAAATAACCCGGTTAGATGGCAGCGAGGATCAGGACCCTGACAGTTTCCCTGTGACCTTCAGCCTCTATGCCCCAACCGACGGACACCTCCCCCTCCCTCGCCCCAGCCCGGAGTCATGCTCCGCCACTGTCAAGCGCCCTGGGTCGCTGCCCTGAGAGAGTGAGGGGCACTGTATAAATGATCCTATCACTTGTGAGGCGAGTGCTGCTGCAACAACTGCACTCCAGGACTCTGTAACGTGCTCACAACCCCAGCCCCGCACCAGAGAGTCAGCCTGGACTGTCAGCGCATCACAGACCTCTGATCGTGCGACCCAGAGGTGAGTGCGAGCGGCCGGAGGTTTCTCGTAGGTTCTCACCTTGTTGAGGAGTGAGAGGCAATCCTCAATGTTGTCACTGCAGCAGAAGTCAAGGGGATGGAAGAGCTTTGCCTTGGACAGGACGGGCGAGCAGTGCAGGGTCAGGCTACTGCAGCTGGAGGAAGGGACGGGTACCGTGACATGTGCCGGCAGGCAAAATACTTGGCATCTGTGGAGAAAGAATTTACCAGAATGGTTGCAAGGGATGAGGGACTTTAGTTCCGTGGAGAGACAAGACTAAAGAAGCTGGGTTGTTCTCCTTAGAGCAGTGAAGGTTAAAGGGAGATGTAATAGAGGTGTTCAAAATTACGAGGGGTTTTTGGTCGAGTGGTTAGGGAGAAGCTGTTTCTGCGAGCAGGTGAGTCGGTAACCAGGGGACATTGACTCAAGATAATTGGAAAAGAACCCGAGGGAAGACGAGGAGACTTTTTATTTTACACAAAGAGTTGTTATGGTCTGGAATGCACTGCCTGAAAGGGTCGGTGGAGACAGATTCAATAACAACTTTCAAAAGGGAATTGGATAGGTACTCGAAGAGGAAAAACCTGCAGGGAATATGGAGGAAAGACAGCAGCGGAGTGGGACTGATGGGATAACTCTTCCAAAGACGCAGCACAGCACAGGCACGATGGGCCGAATGGCCTCCTTCTGTGCTGTAATATTCCATGATTCTATTCCATTATTTATCAAACACATTGTCTAACATTATTGTGACCATTAATAATGTGTTAACTTAAATTAACACGACTGCCCCTACATTCAGGGACAGTGGCCCACAGACGAGCGCACAACAACAACTTGCATTTATATAGCGCCCATCGCGCAGGGTAGCGCCCCAGAGCCCTTAACGTCCACTCACCTGGTGATGCGTCCATTCCCCAGTCTCCCATCCTTAAAGCCACCAAATGAAACCTGTTTAACAATACCACAAAATCACATTTCTCTCAACACCTTTGACGTCGGGAGGACAGACAGAGTCACCGACAACGGTCTAAAGTCCTTACACCAGAGACAAAGAATGATTGTGAGGCTGTTTGGGAGGTGTTATTATTATTATTAGTATTGTAATCCCGGCATTCGATACAGCGCTCTTCACGTCTTCTCGACATCTCGAAGCGCTTCACAGAATAGACGGTAACGTGGAACTGACTGTATATTTGTGGGCGAACGCGGCGGCCGATTGCGCACCACAGTGAGTGTCCCACACACTGTATCAAATGCCAGGATTATTATTTATCATTAACTTAGTTAAATTGACTAAGTGAGTGTTGACCTGAACCCAGAGACCGCCTCCCGCTGTCCGCCTCTCCCTGAGCGGTGCGCAGCCCCGGGGCGGACTTTTAAATCTCCCGCCACAGCGACGCGCCGCCGCGATTGGTCAGACGGGTGGGGCCGCCGGGTTCGCAGGGCCCGCTGGGAATTGTAGTTCGCGCGGGGGCCGCCGGGAGCCAACAGCCCGGCCATGGTCGTGTCACAGCGCCACCCAGTGGCGAGAGGTGCGCACGGCACAGCACAGCGCAGCCACAGGGCAATGCCCAGGCACTGGGCACAGCTGCGGAGGGCTTCACAAATTACTAATCGCCCACTTCTGTTGGGGAGCAACAAAACCAAGTGATTCATTCCCACCAGTGGTTTGCCGGCGTCCGCAACGGAGCAGGAGGGGGCCACGCAGCCCCTCGAGCCTGTTCCGCCATTCTATTCCGTAAGATCACGGCTGCTCTGTACCTCAACTCCAATCACCCGCCCCCCACCCCCCACTCGCCCGGTATCGCTTAGTACCCTGACCAAACCAATACCTATCCACCTCGGTCTTGAGGATGCATAATGGATCCACCGAACGGAACCGGATAAGCCAAAATATTATGTGGAGATTCCCCCCCCACCCGAGCGTAGTGGTTAGAGGGCTCACCTCGCAAGCGAGAGGACCCGGGTTTGAATCCCGGGCGGGTCAGGGCGAAGCCTTAGGCAAGTTTCCTTTCTCCACACACACACGCACACACACATGCCTCTGGTTACCTGGCAGTAAGTAGGAACCCGGTGGTTAGTCGGTTGGCGGATCGCTTTTCGATCGGTATTAATCCCTTTCGAAAAAAATAATAATTTCTTCACTGGGCTTGCATCACAGTGGAATGCCACAACAGTTGGGAAACATAAACAAAAAAGGTTAATGCAATTTGCAGACAGCAGTGTGCCACAAACAGCCATGGAGTGAGCGAGTGGTTTTACTTGGGGGATTGTTGGCCAGGACACCGAGAGAGAGAGAGAGAGAGAGAAACTCCCTTCTGTTTTCGAACAGCCCCGCGGGAGATCTTTAAGGTCCACCTGAACAGGAAGAGACGGGGAGTGAGATTTAACGTCTCCGACAAGCTTCGTGGTAAGTGACAAGTTAAGGCAAGGATCGAGTTATAATAATAATAATAATCCTGGCATTTGATACAGTGCCTTATCACATCGTCGAGATGTCTCAAAGCGCTTCACAGGATACACTGTAAAGTGAATTGACTGTGTATTTTGTGGGTGAAACGCCGATTGGAGCACAGCGACGTCCCCACAAACCTCGTGGGTTGAGTGACCAGATTATTATTATTATTATTATTTGAGGGATTATTTAGAGTTTACAGGACATCGGAATCAGTGGCTACAACCTGGAGAAACCTTTATTAGACACGAGGAACGATGCAGCTACAGAGGTCGAGGGAGCGGAGGATTCAAGGCTCCGGAGAAGCTGACGTGGAGCTGTCTTTATGGACTAATTCAGGCTCGTCCTCTCCATCCTGCGGAGGGTGAACCAACACCCGGTCGATGATCCCAAAATCCAGAGCCTCCACTGGGCTCATATAACGATCGCGCTCCATCGCCCCCTCTGTAATGCACAACACAGCCATCACTGCTCTCTGTCCGGCTCAGGCACTCGCACTCCCGCCTCCGGGGGGAGGAAGGTTGTGGGTTCAAGCCTCCTTCTCCCAACCCCCCACATCCCAACTCCCTCCGCAACCCCCCTGCCCCCGCCTCGCCCCCACAGAATATGCTGTAAAGTGTAAAGACTGTACATTTTGTGGTGGAAACGCAGCAGCCAATTGCGCAGCAGTGTCCCCACAAACAGACCTGGATTGAGTGACCGATTTATTATTATTATATTTTAAAGAATTATTACCCCCGGAACAGCCATCCGCCAATCGACTAACAACAGGGTTCCTACTTACTGTTAGTAAACTGTGTGTGTGTGTGTTTGTGTGGGTGAAGTAAGGAACGTTTCGCCCCGACCTGACCCGCCCGGGAATCGAACCCAGGTCCTCTCGCTTGCGAGGCGAAGGCTCTAACCACTGAGCTCATGTCAGGTGCAATCCTACACCAACATTGACTCACCCAGCACTTCCAGGGGTTGTTTGGTGTGCTTGGCATAGATGATGTTGACTTGTCTCTTGATCTTCAGGATCTCCTCCGCCTGAATCGCAATGTCAGTAGCTTGACCCTGCAAACAACAACAACACATGACATTTACACGGCGCCTTTCACATCAGGAGGAAGTCTCAAAGCGCTGTACAGTCAGGGATCCGCACCCAAGCTGGTGGTTGGCATCAGGAGATGGTGGAGGGCGGGGAGGGTAGGGGCAGGAGGGTGACTGAATGTCTTGAGGAGGCGAGGGAGGGAGGGAGCGAGGCGGAGGGGACTGAGGGATGAACCAAACACATCGACCAGTTCGCTCTCCACCCTCCGGCTGTTGACATCTTCCCTCACGTCACTTCTAAACGATTCGTAAGTTACTAAAACACTGAATCAGGCCTTCGGTCATCACCCTCCCCCACCGCCATCCTTGCCCTCAACCCCTCTTGACTCCAGCCTCAAGCTCGGGTGCAAACCCTTCACTGTCCAACACCTTGGGACGTCCTCCCAAGCTCGGACTTCTGATTCCCCCTCTCCCGTATAAATGCAATTTGTTGTTAATAATAATAATCCTGGTGTTTGACCCGGCGCCTTATCACGTCGTCGAGACATCTCAAAGTGCTTCACAGCATACACTGTGAAGGTGTAGTGCCTATGTATTTTGTGGGCGGAACGCGGCAGCCTATTGCGCCCGGCAGTGTTACTTGCTTTCCTTTAAGTCTGACTTAGTTGCTTCCCTTTAAGACTGACTCATCCCACCCCCAGCTCCAGCCCAGCCCACAGTCTCTCCCATCACCCACCCGCCCACCCCACCATCCCCAGGGCAGTGAATACTCACCCGAGTGCCCCCCGATGGCTGGTGGATCATTATACGGGCGTTAGGCAGGGAATGCCTCGTGCCAGGGGAGCCCGCAGCCAACAGCAGGGACCCCATACTCGCGGCCTGACCCACACACCAGGTGGAGATGGGGTTCAGGATGTACTGCATGGTGTCGTAGATGGCCAGGCCAGCTGTCACCACCCCTCCTGCGGGCACAGAGAAACACAGGAACATAAGAACCTGCAGTCCTGTAGCTCAGTGGTTAGAGCGCGTCAAAAATAAATAAATAAATAATAATAATAAATTGGTCACTTCAATCCAGGACTGTTTATGGGACGTCAATTGGCTGCCGCGTTTCGCCCACAACATACACAGTCACTACACACACACACACACACACACACAGACAGTACACTTTACAGTGTATCCTGTGAAGCGCTTTGAGACATCTCGAAGACCCGATGATAAGGTCCAGTGCCCAAATTATTAAGGATCCATTATTATTAGTGAATTTGTGAGACCAAAGAGGTCCATCCAGTTTCTCCTTCCGCCCATCTTGGCAGTCGCTTGCGCATGTTGCGTCCCCCAAACTATACACTGTATCCCCCCCCGACAGGTATTATTTCCCAACAGAAATCGATCCCATTTGTGCTTGAAAGAATCAACGCTTTCTGCTTCCCCCGTCCGTCCGTCCGTCGTCCCCCCTCCCTCCCTCCCTACCTCCCTCGGGAGCCTGTTCCACAGGTTTTCCCGCTCGCTCACTGAAATCCGCTTGTCCTCTGGTGCTACTGCTGTGAGGTCCTGTAGAGTACTGGTTAGCTCGCCTCGCAAACGAACGAGAGCACCCGGGTTCAATTCCCGGGGCACGGGTTGGGGACTTGGGCGGGGGGGCGGAGGGGGGGGAAGCGTCTAACAAGCTCAGCTCCCAACTGGACCTCAACAACCTCACTGCCCGCCCGACCCACCTGGGCTGTTGATGTACATGTGGATGGGTTTCTTGTTACTTTCTGACTGGAGGAACAGCAGCTGAGCGATCACCAGACTAGCCACGGAGTCGTCGATCTGCAATTAAAAATCCCCACCGGAATATTACTGAGGGTTTTAAAGGGATGTGGCTCGACTGCTCTTCGGTCTTGACGTGATCCAAATTGGAACAGATCAAAGAGGAAGGTCTTCGGGCGCGACCTGAAGACGGGGAAGAAAGGGGACGAGGCGCACAGTGGGGGGGGGTTATTGAGGCAGAGTGTTCCAGGGTTTTGGGGGAGGGTAGCGGCTGAAAGCGCGGCCTCCGACGGTGGAACGGAAGGCCACGAGGGACGAGCAGGAGGCCGGAGCCAGTCGAGCGGAGATAACGGGCGTCCACAAATTTCAGATGATCCAGAACTCGGCAGCTCTGCTCCTCTCAAGCCACCAGGCTCCGTGCATGACCCTATCGCCCCCATCCTGGCCTGGCTGGTCCCCCCACCCCCCCCCGAGGACGGAGTTCAAGATCCTTGTCCTCTTTTAAAGCAAGATCTTTAACATCCAGACCGGGAGCTCGGATGAACATCTCATCTCAAGGACAGTGTCTCTCTGATGATGCAACACTCCCCCCAGCGCTGCATTGGAGAGTCAGCTTAGACCATGTGATTCCAAGTCACGACGTGGGGGATTGAACCCACAACCTTCCGACTCAGAGGCGAAAGAGAGAGAGAGAGAGAGAGCGAGAGATCGCTAGCACTGAGCCAGACGTAGAACGTGTTAACAGGGAAGTCTTAACAGCCACTTACTGGTCCCATGACACATATAATCCGCTCCCTCAGCAGTCTGGAGTAGATGTCATACGCTCGCTCACCTCGACCCTGACAAGAAAATTATTTACAGGTTAATTAAATTCACCTTCAGTCGGGGGGGAGAACAGTGAGTGAATTGTTCACAAGGATTCCCACCGCGATTCAATCGCACACAACACTCCAATTTAGCAATAATAATAATAATAATAATCCCGGCATTTGATACGGCGCCCTATCACGTCGAGACGTCTCAAAGCGCTTCACAGGACACACTGTAAAGTGTAGTGACTGTGTATTTTGTGGGCGAAATGAGGCAGCCACTTGCGCACAGCAGCGTCCCCACAAACAGCCGGGGATTGAAGTGACCGA